TCGTGTTAAAATTGCCCTGAAGGACAGGAGAATCGAGTCCATTTGAAGAATAAACCATCAACAAGGGGAGAAGAAAGTACCCCTAATCGTGGAGTAGAGTAGAGTACCGGTGGTGATTTTCTTCCGTGGCGTCACAAAGTTTTCAAGAATGTGTGAAAGCAAAATAGATCCAGGTGTTGGCACGCCAGCCTTGGAGAATGGTACTGCAGTATATGCCAGCGGTCTTGCGAAAGGAACTCAAAATGATTATGCAGTAGGCCTATACCAGTCGGTATCATGTCATAATTAATACCTGTATCGAATACATGGTGCCTATCCAAGCATAGGAGGTACTATTATGTTCCGTTTGTATAAGCTTATCATTTGGACGTGAACATTTTTGTCTGGGATTTGGATGAATTGGTGGAAAGAATTGGGCAATTCCATTTCCGAATGATAGAGAGAGGGAAGAAGTTGAAAAGAAAGAAGAGAAAAATAGATATAGAATAGAAAGAGAAAATAGGTGATAGTTAAAGAGACGGGGGAAGAGGGAGAGAGAGAGAGAGAGAGAGAGAGGGGGGGGGGGGGGGTATGTTGACAGTCTTGGAGAAGAGCATTTATAGCCATGGTAAAGCATAGACGGTGAATGAGAAACAATGAGACATCGAATAAGATTTGGGGGATAATTTAAGTGTGTATAGAAAGAGAGGGGATATAGAGGAATCACAGAAGGGACAGAATAGAATGGATGAAATCGAGAGCGACAGAGGGAGGAAGAAAGATAGAGGGGTAGATAGAGAGAGAAAGATAGACGGGGTAGATAGAGAGAGAGAGAGAGAGAGAGAGAGAGAGAGAGAGAGAGAGAGAGAGAGAAAGAGAGAGGGAAGACAAGAACCATGAAAACTTAATAAGTTCAGAGTAATTGAGGAATACTGATTTAATCGAAGGAATAAACATGTGCAGGATACTGAGAAACACTTAAGATCATGAATGAAAGAAAGAGAGCAAGAAGAAATAGAGAAACGAACAGCATGAGAAAAGAAAGGGAGACAAGGGGATATAAAATATGGAAATATAATAAAGAAAAGAAGCGAAAGGAGAGAAAAGATCGAATTATTAAAAATGGAGAAAATAAAACTAGAGAGAATGGGATACATAGAGAGGAGGAGAATGAAGAGAGAGAGAGAGAGAGAGAGAGAGGGGGAGAGAGAGAGAGAGAAAGAGAGAGAGAGAGAAGAAAGACAGAGAAATAAGAATTAGAACTGTAGGGAATGAGGAGATACAGGTGTTTTTTAATCACCAGTTTTCATTACAGTTACGTGAGGGATAGTCCTACTATGGGTACCTGCTGATCCCCACTACTTTCTAATCCTGGGTAATACTCCTCACCGTTGAAAGTTTTCAAACTATAGGAAGCGAGATGTACCTGCGCCTATTTACATTACCGGGACTGTGGCTAAACTTTCAGGTCCAAGTCGCAGGTCTCTCGTCTAGTGATTATACGATTGCGTTTCCTTGTTTCTTTACGGATTTCACGCTAGGTAGACGTTTTTTCTAAACCGCAAATCCTTTTAATTTTTATCCATTCTGCATGACTGCCTCGGCATACCCCTCTCATTCATATTCATAATGATAATTTCGCGATGATTCTCTCTCTCTCTGTCTCTCTATCCCTCTCTCTGTGTCTCTCTTTGTCTCTCTCTGTTCCTTTCTCTTCCTCCCTCTTTCTTTCTTTGTTCTCTCTCTTTCACCACTCCTGTGCTACTAGGGACTTTTAGATTCGCACGAACACAATGGAGATTGCTACGGTCGACGTCCTTTTAATGCACTGCCTTCAATGGACGTCACACGTATCAGCCCACGCAAATCTAAAAGTCCCTATTACCATCATTCTCCCTCACATCCACTCCTACTTTACATGATTTCTAATCGTTTGGGAAGCTAAGAACTTCGTAGTAAGACTGCTCAAAGAAGTCCCTGATTAAAAAGGAAATGGCCCATACTTCATATCGGTGATGTCATGCACTTTGGTAACTGTTGGGCCTCATGGACCTACTGAAAGTACCATGGTCCCATCCCCTCCATTTATTTCCCAATATCCCGTGACAACTGAAACAGATACCAGACCGACACCAGGGCCTCGTTGCACAAAACTTACTATTGATGGTAACTTTGCCCTCAATGGTAACTACGGGAAACCTTGATTTCGGTTGGATGTTGAGCCCTGTTGCCATGATAGTTGCCATTGATGGCAAAGTCACCATCAATGGTAAGTTTTGTGCAACGGGGCCCAGACCAAGCACAACATTACATTACCATGAATTGCTAAGAATCGGTCGGTTCGAAATCAGTTAGAGGTCGGGTGACGCCCTCTTCAAAATATTGGTTAAGCATTTGCCCAGCAAGAGGTTCATTATCCACCTCACCAAATTTGGGCATTTAATTTTTACCCAATCTGAGTAATATATTGTCCAATTAGGGACATGATATAGAATAACTACTTTAAAACGGGCCAAATATCAACCAAGTTGGGTGGACACGTAATTACCTTCATGGCACATTTTTTAAACCCAATAATTTTTCGAGTGAGGCATTACTGGTTTCACAAAATTGTACCCTGCAGGGCTCCAATTTAATCCATCTAAACACTCACTCTCACCCACAACTTGTCACTGCAATTAAGACTTTGGTCGTAGTATAAGTATATAAGTATAACTTTATTAACAATTGAAATTGATATATTCTTTGCATTCATAGCTCTTTTGCCTGTTTCATGTTGGACAAATATAATCATTTATATATTGTGGACATTCATTGCGATATGAAAAGAAATATACACGTATTTAAACAAAAATGGAATATGAGAACAACAAAATGAAAGAGAAAGAAATGAGGTGTAGAACCTCTCTAAAAGCTTTTTTTTTCATGACCACACGACCCCTTGAAATATAATCATGAAATGGTCACACTTCAATGGACATATCGTTGAACAATAAAGGAATATGCAGGATATAAGTGCACCAAAAACCAATACAAAATGATGCAGTTGGCAGTTGTTTGCATGGCGTTTTGCATAAAACACATCGCGTTGCATAACTGATGAAAGAAACTATAGAGAAGTAATAGACATAATGACATTTTTCCCAATTTAACCACTTGACAATGACTGTAATTCTATATTCCCTGTAGTAGCATGGGAGAGTAAAAGACTGTTGATTCTTACACCCTCAAACAAGTTGGGTAAAATCTTACCAAATATTGTGGGGAAAATAAAGTTTTGATAGATGGTATTCTATTATGCACGCTAGTCGGATAAAAAGTGTACCTCATGGTATGTTCCATTTTACCTATCAAAACAAACGTGCGTGTTTTCTTTTCATCAAACATATTGTATACAATCTTCGTCCAACTGGATTTGTTGGGGAAAAACCGTTATGGTAACGCTTTAACCATGCCTTTTTGCAAATGAAACATCTTAAAATAGCATGCGTATACGTATCAATCTGTCTGTACAGTCTGGGCAGTGTCGTGCTGGTTGGATCTCCAAATGTTTGGGAATACATACATCTCAGTTTTATTTATACATCATTTTACAGTGACAGTGTTTGACTTGCAAAAGTTGTTGCAATATAAGGAAAGTCTCTGTGGTATATGGTGTATTGTTGCAGCGCAACACGAAGAAAATTATCTAAACATGGCTGAATACAATGGTAGGCCTAACTAATGTTCAGACAATTGTGCATTTCGCGGGGAACATGTACATGTAACCATCGAAGGAGACATAGTCCCATAGACATTGTGATATGTGACATGTAATGGAATTGAAGTCCACTTTTATCGAGATTAGGATTCTAAAATAATTAATGTGAAGAACATAACAATATGACAAGTTAAACGTTGCATTTGCGAGACTATTTTGAGGGTAAAAGAACACAGAAAAATTTACCTTTTAGGTAAATATTAGGCAGTAGAATCATCTGGATAGATACTGGTAGTATTATACAACAATATACAACTTCAAATAATAAGACCGCATATTATAATTTCTCGAGATTTCCTTAAGGGATAACAAGCTTGATAAAAATTTAATCATTTCCTCTTGATTTACATTTTCTCATGTCCTACAGTAAAAACACACTTTTAATAAAGAAATTTCCGTCTCTTATTTACATATAAAACTTTCTATCAAGAACATGTTCTGTCAACTGCAAGTGTGATGAATTCTATACATAATAATTCTAGATTTAATCTAAGTAATGGTTTGGAGGAGTTTATTTGTCATATTTAGAGTAGATTCCAGTGTATGTATACATAACTCTGTAAACCCCTTGAAATATATGATATAAATTCATCCTAATGCAGCCCACATTAATAATGATGATAATAGTCGGTTCGTACGTATATGGCGCTCCACGAATATTACCCTGGCTTTAGCATGGCTTCCATTATGGCGCTTTAATATGTCAAGGAATTAATTCCTTCCAGAAACCTCACTTGGTTGGAGTGTGGCAAATGTAGATCAATGTCTTGCCAAAGGACATTACAGCCACGGCGGGACTCGAACGACGGCCCATGCGATCCACAGTCCGGCGTTGTACCCAATATACCACGTCATCTCCAGCTCAAGCATCAACTAGTCTTTACTGGCTCCCTTTTCACCAGAAATATTATATTCTTAGATGCGCAGGTCATGGATTCGGTCACCTGCACCGCATGTCTGCCCTTAAGCAAGACATTTTTGTAAATCTACATTGCTTTTGTCCAGGTGTTGAATGGGTCAGTATCCGGCAGAATGCGAACGTTAATGTGGTTAGATTGGCATATGAGCGCCTATAAAATCGCACCTGGCTGGAATGCTCCCCAGGAAGAGAAGCATGTGCAATATTTATGAACGAAATAGTATACGTTGGATCAAATGACCGTGATAAAAAAAAAATCATTGTAAGGCGTTTTAAAGAAACGCAGTTTTTAGCGCTATACAAACCGGACTATTATTACTGTTGCTAGTATTAGAATTTCAACAATTATCTACAGCCTTATTAGGATTAATACACTGTCGTCATTGGAGGGATGCTTGTTGTGGAGTTGTTAAAGGGAATGTCTTCTGGTACATAGAGGATACCTAGAGAGAAATATACAATGAATTATAAATTAGGTATATTAAATACTTATTGATTAATATTTAATTTCACCACTGTGAATTCTTTCTAAAAAAAGATAGATAAATAAATAAATAAATAAATAAATGGTAAATGAATACAATATATATATATATATATATATATATATATATATATATATATATATATGTATGTGTGTGTGTGTGTACGTTTGTGTATGAGTATTATATTTATCAAAATAATGAAAAAATAATTAGTACCAGAAGGACGTTCAGGCGTACCGGTCTTTATAATCTTGTAAAACAATTTATAAAGAGTATCCTTTTTTAGTAATGCAGGGGGGTGTTTCCAAAGATCCTCAGTTGAACTTAACTCTAAGTTGGACTTAACAATTATGGAAAGCCGTTGGCATCAATGAAAATATTTTATAAAAATTATTTTAAAAGGCAATAAAATTTTGATTCAAATCATTCATATTTTCTACTATCAAGGAGATTTCATGTTCTTGATTTGGAATTTATAAAAAGTCTAAAATACTTGAATTTTCGCTTTTGAAATTATTTTATTTTAAGGCTACAAAATCATGGCTCTCCATAATTTGTAAGTCCAACTTAGAGTTAAGTTCGACTTAGGATCTCTGTGAAACACCCCCAGTGATTTAAAGCATACATTACCTGCGATGCATGCAGTCATGAAGCAAGCGACCGTCCCAGCGATTAGGGCTCGAATTGCCACTGCTGCTAAGTCACCTTTCCTGGAGGGCGCCATAGGTCCTAAAGCACCTAGTACAATGCCTACAGAACCTATGTTGGCAAAGCCACAGAGGGCGTAGGTAGCAATAACTTCCGATCGAACCTGTAAAAAAGATCCGGGGGTTGAAATGTTAATTATTGTCAATTGTCGCCTTTAAATATTGATTATGGCTAACGTCACAATTGCTCATGGCTACCGGTGAAGAGAGCAACACCAGCAAAACCAGTAGTGTCACCCCTAGACCTACAGACCTTTCTGACTTTTCTGAAGGTTTTTCAGGAGATTGAGGGTCCAAGAGACCGCCAGTAACAGCAATGTATTGTTCTCATATCTTTCTCAAAGCTTGTCCGAGTTCTCATAATATCGAAGTTGTCGGTCTTGTTGGTTCTCGGTCCAGCAAACGAACAAAGCACCAGGATCCCAGTTTACCCAGACGTTTGGTTTTGAGAAGATTGTTTTTGTTTTGTTTGAGAGACCCATCTTGAAATGCTCGTTCAAATATGACTCAGAAAAACAACGGCGTTTTTTTGTTTGGTGATGACATGAATTGTAATATAGGCTTTACATTTCTTTAACTTATCTCGTAACACAAAGCTCCCTGAATATGCACAAGTTTTTTTGTTGCACGCAGTTGCCATGGTCATTAATTTCACACATGACACAAAAAGGGGCGTTTTTTTTTTCTTCATTGTAGCGGCTTACCGCACCATATGTGAACAAGCCGTACTGATGTATAAAGGACTAACAAAGAAACAATGGTCTGTTTTGCCATTCAGCAATCTCAAAAGTGTAACTACAAGTCTTTTTAGATGTCATTTATAGTTGTATGGGGAAATAATCACGAAAACATGAAGACAAAAATAGACTTCCAAAAAAAATAAAAAATTCAAGGACAAAGTCAACAACACTTTGTATTTCATAGGTCAAAAAGCGTAAATTATTGACGCTTTTTGTAATAATGCTCGCACATTCAAGTGGGTGGCATGATGAACAAGGCTAAAATTGAGTAAGGTGTATTTTTCGAAAGTCTTGCGATAGTAGTAATTGAACTTTAAAGAGTTTATCAAAGGCAGTGGGGTTTGGTACTGAGGACATTTTAGAGGGGATGGATGTGTGTTCTTGTTTTATTTCGTTTATATCATTGAATACCGTTTCTATATCCCATACATTTTGGTTCTTGATGTCTCAGAAACATGATGAATGCACTTACCGAGAGCGTAGGTCCTGCGCCAGTAGTCCTGTTCTCAATATACTTCCCAAGGACCTCATAGGCGTAGAATTCATTGACGAATGTTTTCAATCCGATGAGTTCAGCTACAACCCTGCAGTCTGCCCACTCCACGCCCATGATGAAGGCAATGGGTACAAACACGTATGAGCATATAAACTGGAAATAGGAAAATGTAAAAATAACATGGTGTTAATAATAATAATATCAGGCATTTATATAGCGCCGTCTATCTAGAAATTCTATCCCGAGGCGCATTTATTATTACCCGGGCCGGCTTTAACCTAGCTACCATTACAGCGCTCCTGCATTTCAAGGAATTAATTCTTGCCAGGTACCCATTTACTTCACCTGGGTTGAGTGTGACAAATGTAGATCAATGTCTTGCCGAATGACATTAGTGCCGGGGCGGGACTCGAACCGCGGACCTTGTGATCGACAGTCCGGCGACGTATCCACTCGACCATGACACCTCTACGTTACAAACAATGCATGCCGCAAAAATTAAACAAGTAGTCCAATATATATATATAAATGAAGATGTCGTGTGTCTTTAAAATCCCAGTTCTGTTCTGGTGAGATCGACAGCAGACCAATAGAAGTTTATGATTTGATTTGATTTGGTTTGATTTGATTTATTGGTTCTGCATCTTTCTTTTTTCATCATTCATTTTCATGAACATAATATAGTTTGATACAATATTTCACATGTATATTATTTTATACAGATAACATACGAAATTAAACAAATATATTGAATGCATAATTAACACTAGAAACATGATATACACCGAATGGCCCAAAGGCAGTCAGTTGGGAGTTTGTTGGTAAATGTGATTGGTTTGGCGGTGTGACGGTGAGTAATCAAACTTTATGGGCCCCCCCTTCAGTAGCTCGAGATTGCCAAATATCCCGCTATTTGAACTATACCGATCACAAATTATCCAGTTAATTTGCGTCTTCTTCAGCCCGAAGTTGCAATTAGCGAGATATTTGGTCGAGATAATCATCTCAAGATATCTTGGTCTAGTTTGCAAAGTATCCCGCTAATTGTCCGGTGCGTCCTCACCAGCCAGAAGACTCGCACTACGCGCGAACGCTGAGCAAAATATCTGGAGCTAATTTCTCGAGCTCGAGTTTCAAGTTTCGAGGTCAAGTCTCGAGCTGATGAAAACGCGATTTGTAACTTCGAGATTATTTCCCAAATCAGAAATAGCGGGCTATTTGGCAGGTGTGACCGTAATCGAACTTCATTGTTACCTCGAAAGTGAGTTGTGGGTAACCGACGAGTCCTCCGAAGTATCCAAGCAAAGCGTTCACGAGGGCCAGGAGAGAAAGAAAAGCTATGAGGTTTGCAGCGACGTTCAGGACCAGTGGAATGGCTTGCGATGCTCCGTTAGCAGCTGCTTCAATGACGTTTAGCTCCTCCCTAAAACAATGAAGGTATTAAGTTTTTATCTTTAAACATCCTTAAAAAGGGGGTTCGACTTCTGAAAAGGGCGAAAATGTAGAAGAATATCACTATAGTACTGCCACAGTTGGATGCTTTCTTTTAAAATGTCTTCATAGTCCAACTAAAATGCGTTAAACAGTTTTAAAGGAATCTAACAAAAAAAAAATTAAAAAATTATATGATTTTAATGACGCAATAACTATACGGATGGGCACTTCAAATCGGCTGCATCTGTAATGACCCTGTGAGGTAGTGCAAAACAACTCTCCCATTTGTTTTATCATACAAAATGACTAAAATGTAAATTTGTCTCAATTTATAACTCAGGAAGGCATTTCCTATTTAGCGGACCTATATTATGCTATTCATAATATATTTTGAGTAGTGCTCTAATGGAAAAGGCATTTAGGAAATAATAAACAAATGTAATGATACTTTTTTACAAAACGAGCAGGGGATTTGTCCGTGGCAACTTTACAATCCACTGACAAAACTGGCAATTTATGATTGTCATAGATGTAGTGATCTCATATGCCAAACATTCATAACTCTCTTATTCTACACTCCTGACGACCGATAGTCAACCTGTTCGAAACGTCGAGCCACTCATCCTCTCCAATAGCTATAGTTCTCCTTTGAACTATAAGCTAAGAAAGATAACAAACAGTCCTTTTAAGGACTACACACCCACAAGAAAGATTACCGAGTCAGAGTCCTTTTCAGGACTCATCAACCCTCTCTCTCTCTCATGGTGCACCCGCAAGCCTACTGTATCTCTTATTCTTGGAGTCCAATTTATTTCAAGCTTTCACTATTCTGTTTCTTTTATTTTTCTGCTTTCATACAAATGAACCTAGTACATAGGTTTGATTGTCCTTTAAAGCTTTAGACCAAATTTAGTTTCATGTGCGTATAGTCCCACGAACCCATATATATATTTGCAGTGCTGTTCAGTCAACTTGAGTCATCTTTAGAAAAAGAAAAAAGGGAATGATTCCAAAATACTATACTAAGATGCAATACTCAATTATTCTTGCAATAGTAGGACTGGAGGCAATAAAATTATTATTGTTTTACAAACATTTAATCCTGATATCCAGCTCAAGGCCATCCAATATTAAATCATTATAATTCCTCCCTACCCTTTAGCCAACACCATGTCCTCCTCGGTAAGGTGCTTCGATTTCTCGGTCTCGGGGTAGAAGAGCTTCGACATCGCCAGAGCTGCAGGGGCAGACATCACCGAGGCGGTTATGAGATGGGTCGCATCGATACCGTAGAGAATGTATGCTCCAAGAGTGCTTCCTGCGACGGTCGCGAAGCCACCCGTCATGACGGCGTGGATCTCAGAGCGCGTCATGTCCTTCAGGTACGGCTTGATCAATAAAGGCGCCTCAGTCTATAGAGAAAATGTATTATTTTTGTTAACTGAAATGATGACTCATGGATTTAGGTGGTTAAAATCTCCCAAAATAGTTTACAAATAATACACAGCAGTGAGGGCATTATTATCAATTACCCACACAAGGTAGCTTCGGAACAGTCTAACACGCCCGAGGCGATAGCCGAGGGTGTTTGGACTGTTTCGAAGGAACCGAGTGTCGGTAATTTTACTAATGCCCGAACAAAATGATGCTTACTATTTGTTTTATAAGATGATGTTTTATTTGTTTTATAAAATGATGTGTTATAACTGTTATAACATGATTTTACTAATGACTGGTCATTAATAAAATTACTAATGCCCTCACTGCAGTGTATTATTTGAATATTCATTAGAAAGAAAGTTTCTCTGAGATTAACTTTTGAATGGAATGATCATTGAGTAGTCATATCTTTGAAAACACTAGTTCCCTCCCGGTATAAAATATCATTTCTTTTCCGTGATGATGATGATGATGGTGATTCTCGTTACCATGCCAACGAAGATGTTGCCTGCAGCATTGAGGGATTCCGAAGCCGATGTCCTCATAGTACGTTGCATCAACCAGGCTACTTTCTGGATGACAGTCTGCATCACTCCCCAGTAGTAAAGCACCGAGATGACAGCGCTAAAATAGATGATGATGGGAAGGACCTGAATAACATTTTAAAGTGGAAGAGAAGAGATATCACAACGGCTACATAATTATGAGGGGGAAAGAAAATCGTCTTCAGATATTGATACCGTCACAGATTATCCTAACACAAAGATTGAATTTAATGCAAGGTTCTGGAATCATCAAAATGATAAGAAATTTGGCCCAGTCTTGGTAAAGTTACAAGCACTGTACACAGAAAGATGTATATGGGACTACGCACACGTGCGTTATATCTATCAGGTCCAAATAAATATACTAATTTACCAAATATATCAATATGTAGGCGGCTTCTCGGCAAAAATTTGTACCATCACATATTAGTCAAAACATATTCTTTCACATGATTGGTAATAAGAGCATAAAATGAGAGGCGTTTCCAAAACTGGTCTTTAAATTTAATAAAAGCACTTACCGCAAATGCAAAGTAATGTTCCTGGTAATTTTCACCGAATAGGAAGATGGCGCCGGCGGCAGAGAAATTGAGGAACGCGTAAACTACATCACTGAGCCACTCGAATAGAACAAAGCCTGGATATGTCCTGAGGATAAATAACCCCAACAACATCTGCAAGGCAAGTCCCCAAATGACCGGCCTCCACTTGACCTAGAATGTTTGAGGAGAATAATAGCTATATTTCTATGTTACACCAGGCGCAGATCCACAAAAAGATGGTAACCACAAAGTTACTCTGTTTTGGGGGCTCAAGGGGGAGAGGTGTTGATTAACACCCCTCCCCCCCCCAGAATACATGTTTGGGAATAACACAAGACTGCGTTGCTTTTTAACACACCCAACTCATTATATCACATAATTTACCAAGGAATTCAGGAAATCTAAACCAAGGTTGTGTCGATACATGGACGTATCAAAACAAGTGCAATTTGACTTTTATTATTCTATATTCCCATGATTAAAAATGTATTAATGCTACTGTTAGTATTAGATAGAGTGTTGGGTGCAGGGATGAATTTTAGAATCTGGTTAGTGTACGATATTGACTTCAGGGGGGTGTTTCACAAAGATCCTAAGTTGTACTTATCTCTAAGTTGGACTTAAAACTTATGGAAAGCCATGAGCATCCTTGGAAATATTTTATAAAAGTTAGTTTAAAAGGCATAAAATGTTGATTCAAATCATTTATATTTTTTTATTATCATAGGAAATTTCATGTTCTTAATGTGGAATTTATGATAACTCTAAAATAGTTGAATTTGTTCTTTTGAATATATTTCAAAATAAGGCTACAAATGGCTCTCCATAATATTGAAGTCCAACTTAGAGTTAATGTCGACTTCGAATCTTTGTGAAAAGTCTAAAATGCTTGAATTTGTGCTTTTGAATATATTTCAAAATAAGGCTACAAATGGCTCTCTATTATATTGAAGTCCAACTTAGAGTTAAGTTCGCCTTCGAATCTTTGTGAAACACCCTCCCCCCCCCCCCTTCCCCCCCCCCCTCCCCACCCCCGAGCTATTATCGCCGGATAATGTGTCGTACAACCAACGGAACTGCGTTGTGAGGGAAACTGGCAGAATCGTACAGTTTACAATGAGGCCGCCATCCTTGTCAAGCTTTGCTTATGATTGCGGTCTTCTGCACTTTTCCAACAGAACAGTTCGGATAATACTTTGAATTTATGATTATATGTTATGAAAATATTAAGTTTCATTATTATATGTACATATATTACGTAAACAAAAAATGTTGGTATGAAGAAATTATTGTTTTTTTTTATGTTGTATTATACCTTACATTTGTATGTTCTTTGTTATTCAGTTATATTTTATATGGAAACAAATGCAGAAATCAAATCAAATCAAAAAACAAAAAAAAATCCCACACTGACCTGGGCTGGATATTTAGAAAAGACGTAACTGAAGAGTAAGAAGAAGACCAATCCTGCCAGAGAAATGAGGTTTTCAGGAGTGTCTCGGGTAAGGAAGTAGAGAGCAACGCCTATACCGGCAATTACAGCCAGGATGCACGGCCTAGTGACAGATAAAATATAATCGTTGTAAACTAAACCTTTATCATGTGCAGTAGCGGTTCTAGAGCTGTTTTGGTGGGGTTCAAGTTGCCCAATGATAATAATGATTATTATAATGATAATACCATTAATATTACTAATTATGATGATAATGATAATAAAAATATATGATAACAATAATGATAATAATATAACAATTATAATAAAAGTAATAATAATAATAATAACAAAGATAATAACACTAAATTCGATAACAATATCAATTATAACGATCATAGTAATAATAATATAATAATAATAATAACAATAATAATGATACTAACAACAATGGGGCTAATAACAATAATAACATGATGATTATAATAACAACAACAGTTGTTAACTAATAATACTAATTATTTCACTTCAAGCACCCCCCCCCCCCTTAATAACACCACAGACTCACATGAAGAAAATGGATGTATGAAGCCCAAGCATAACCGCCCCATGTCCCCGTAAAACTATTCTGCCAGAATTACTCCTCATTTTTTGTCATATTCATTACCCATTGCACCGTTTAAGATACCATACTTGTATAAGATTGTGAATGTTATATACACTGTTTTCGTTTGTCTGTTACGCTCTCTCGGAAATATGAACAATATTTTCTCTTTTGGAGTTATGAATCCCTTGGTATAAAAAGTTAGTATGCTTGGAATTAACCTTGGAAATTTCGAATGTAAGGAAAAACGGACATTCCAAAATACGAGTGCCCAACCCCGCCCCTCGTTTTAATATCCCTTATTCGATACTGTGCATTAAATGATCAGGCGACAATTGCGCTGGTGTTTATTTTGTCAAAGATCCTGGGGAAGGTTAGGGAGTGGGCGTAGTACATGGTACGGGGTTGAAAGCTCAAGTCGAGTAGGATAAGAAACTGACGCAAAGAACCGCATCACATACCATTTGATGTAAACCCAGGACTTGTCGATCTTCTCTCCAATCGGGATCATGATCTTTTTATAGATCTTCTCTCCTTGAGTATCTCTGATCAGGATGTAGCCGTAGACAAAGACGACGAGGCCCGTGATGATAAGAATGACGAACGCCTCGTCGAAGTCGTAGATGCAGGCGTATATGAGGAAGGCCGCGTATCCCATTAGGAGGATGATCAGCACCATGTACCTGATCATCGTTTTGTTCTCGCTGAGTGTCTTGGTGATACTGTCTGTGTATACGTAGATACCCTTTTATTGGACGGGGGTTGAAAAGAAAAATGAAAATACTTCAACTAAGGTAATACAAAGTTTTGGTTTGGGGTCACGAATTTGGTTCAAATGAACATATTGGAAGCATATGCGATTGTACAATGTTCAATGACCGAGTCTAAAGTGATGAAATTATAAATAATAAACTATTTATGTTATATAGCGCCCTCTCAAGACTGATATTACTTTAGCTTTCAAACCGGCAATGTTTCTTGACTACCGTACAATCGACCAATTTGCTATTCCCGTTTGGAAATTGTATATTAAAACTGTATATTCTGAGATTTTCATGGTCGCAGCTACCATGGAATGCCTTAGGAGCTATTTATAATATTTTAAATGTACCAGGAGCACCGGTAAATTTTTGATTATTCAATATCTCGAAAGCAGAAGTGTTTTAGGGGCTACATTTTTTAGTGCTTATAATACATCCAAATGTATCAACATTTTAAAGAATTACTATCCATCCGATTTTCCCAAAACTTTGCATTACCTTTAATCTATAAACTGAAGCAGAAAGAAACAAATCAAAATCACTAAGGCTTTTGTCAATTCTAGCCTCGTATAACTACTTTAGAAATGCGCTACTATTATAATTTGTACATGATTTTTCTTTGTTGGATATTCAACAGTGAACATGATATTGAAACTGGCCTTGACAGTCTGAGCGATGGCGTTTTTTAAAACTTGAAAAACGATATTTCAATAACATTGCTAATTTTGGGTTGCTCCACCCATGAATCATAATGTGATTTTATCTGGCTGTGTTTTATTCATCACACAATCAGAAAAGTAAATCCTTAAAAGTCCACATTGAAGAACGGTTAGTATTTTTTTCAAGGGTTGAATTCAACACAGGACTATTATTAGGTCGAAATTCAAGACTAGGGTAATTTGTGAAGAAATCCAGAGGGTATAAAAACAATATAAGTAATGATGATGAAAATAATTACAATAATAATGGTTATGATAATAATAACAATAATAATGGTTATGATAATAATGGTCCTTTTTTCTCAGATAAGCCTCATCAGGTGTAACATTCTTCTCGCGGACCCTGCAATCATATATTACTGCCAAATCTGGTTGCTTGCTACAAACCTTCCACAATCTGGCCTGTAAATCATCATCATCATCATCATCATCATCATCGTCATTGTCCGGGTCGATCACCGTGGCATCGCCATTGCTCTTTTTAGGCGGGTCTATAATCTTTGCATAGGTATCCTGTAAAAGAGTATTAAAATTAAAGTATAAATCCTTTTAGAATTGAACTCAGTCTGTTGGAAAGCCTGGGTCCTGCCGGGGTGGGGGAGGGGGGGGGGGGGTAAAGCATCATTAGTCAATCTTATATTAATTAACATGTACCCTGAAAATACCCTCGTAATACCCTTTGGTGAGGCATAACTCCTCATTACAAAGTCCCTTCGTTGCTTACTTGCAAGTTGCAAGCATACACATGCTTTCTTAGGAGTCAAGTAAAACAAAAACAAAAAAAGGAAATCAGATCAAATCATAGTCTTGAGATGCCACTTATAACGGTCACGCCTTATCCAGTCTAATCTCTTTCATAATGTGTTTGTATTGTAGATTGACAAAGTAAAGGTGAGGGACCTGAACAGTTAATGACTCTTTATCAGCTTGGAGTATGTGATCTTTGGTCTCGAGCTTTACTTTATTTCAAAACCAATTGAACAATTGTATTTACTCTATCGAGAAGTCCATTGTTATGTGAGGTTTACAGTAGTCAAACCTAAGTGGTCATTTGCTATTGTTGTTACTTGAATTCATCTATTGGACATACATCTCAAGAAAACTAATTAATGGGGTAAGCAAAATTTTGAATCACCATGATCACGTGATGATTTTATTTTCACATTACCTGAAACGATTCGATTCAAAGGTCAAACGAAAGTTTTTTTTAATTTCCTACAACATCCCAATACAGCAGAAAACATCTGAATAACGAGACTACACGGGCGAATCGATATGATCATGATGATGAACATATACCTATGATCAAGAAAATTGGATTTGTGCGAGACAACTGTTTGTTCGCGATAACAATGAAGGGTAAACTATGTTTAATTTGTCCTATTTATGAGGGCGGAACTGAGGGACAAGGTCCTACTCAGAGGTGATTACGAGACCTGTCTTTTAAGAGAAAACCACTCTCAAAAGATAAATCTACCCACAACTTCCACAATAATTTTAAGCGGATTCAACTCCAAAAAACAAGTAATTCCCTAAAGGCCTCCTTTAATATCTGACACAGTTGTTCTGACCACGGATGACCATCGGCCATGCCTCCTCTCTGAATCAAGTATATTCAAGTTTATTTTGGACTGGATTCAAGTAGAGGACAAATGATCCCGATATGACTCCTGAAAAGATTGATTTCCTTTCTTCCTCCTGAAGAGGGTATGACCAGGGGGGTGTTTTACAAAAAAGATCCTTAGTTGAACTTAACTCTAAATTGGACTTAAAAATTACGGAGAGCCATTTGTAGCCTTAAAATAGAATATATTTTTTTTTTAAATCAGGTATTTTAGACTTTTCTTAAATTACACATCAAGAACATGAAATCTCTTTGATAATAGAAAATATGAATGATTTGAATTAACATGTTATGCCTTTTAAAATAACTATCATTTTCAAAGATGCTAACGGCTTTCCATAATTCTAAAGTCCAACTTGGAGATAAGTTCAACTTACGATCTTTGTGAAACACCCCCTTCGACCATGATTTCCCGAGTCTATCCACGCCGGGACAATGGCATGTTTCTCGATACAAGTTCTTGCTACGAATGTTGTTATACTTGTGGAATGACCCTAACCCTAAAATAAAAAAAAACAATCGCAACCCTAACCGTTAACTCAACCCTATATCTTTCACGAAATAAAGCCAGGAGAAAACGTTGCAATGGCAAATATCGGAAGATCAAGTAGCCCATACAAGCATGATATATAGAAAGTCGATTACATTATCGATGCCTCACACCGGAAATGACATGATTATTATATTCTCAGTTACTGTTACATTTTTTTATATGGAACTTACATCATCCATGGTTTTTGCTGTTCCATTCTTTTTAGTCGAGTCCTCATCCAAATCTGTCTCTATGTCGTTTACAAAAGCTGCATTTTCGTAGCTACTCGTCCCTGTGTCATGCTTCTGTAAATATATAATGGGAGAATAATTGTACGTGAAATAATTGTGTGCGTGTGTGTGTGTGTGTTTGTATGTAAATTAAAGATCGAGAGAGAGAGAGAGAGAGAGAGAGACTGTGTGTGCGATAAATAGAAACTCGAAAGAAGAAGCAGAAAGAAAGGAATGGGAGAAAAAGGAGCAAGTGACGATGGATGACAAAGAGAAGATAGAAATAAACATAATTCCAATCACCCAACAACAAGACATGCCGTATATATATATATATATATACGTGTATATATATATATATATATATAAATATATATATATATATATATATATATATATATATATAAGTCAAACCTGTCTATAGCGACCACCCAAGGGAAACACAAAAAGTGATCGCTGTAGACAGGTGGTCTTTGTAGACAAGTTCCTTTAGTACATGTCTCAATAGGAAACCATTTTCAAGGGAAAAACAAATGTGGTCTTTGTAGACAGGTGGTCACTAAAGTAGGTTTGACTGTATACATATATATATATATATATATATATATATATATAAACATTCATGCAGCATATACAAAAATGTAACAAGGCTAACAATAACAGTTACGGTTTCCCTTGTTAATCTTTTCAGAAACTTACTTCATCTATTGTTTTTGCAATTCCATTCTTCTTTATATTCGAGTCCTCATTCAACTTTGTGTCGATTTCTGTTGAAACGTCATTTTCGTCTGTACTCGTTCCTGTGTCATGCTTCTGTAAATATCCATGAGGAAAAAAAAAATCATTATATATATATATATATATATTGTCCCAGTATGTATGTATATATATGTTTGATCTATTTAACTTACGCAGCCATTATTCACTCATTTCCTTTCGCTATGTATTTTTTTCCAAGAGATTTGCCCAAGCTTGATTTATACATAATCTTGAGATCAAGTGGGAAACAAAATTCAACCAGCAGTAAACATAGTAAAGAGTTTGTACCTTCATAAACTGGGTTCCAACAGTTTGGAATATTTTGAATGACTTAACACTTTTCATTATCAAAATATTTCATAATGGGTCACTTTGCAAATGTGATAATTGGTTTCACATTTTCAAGGGGAAATGTAAGAATGAATGTGAACCCCGTGAAGGGTGATGCTAGTCACTCAAGAAGTTACACCATTCTAAATGGGGCTTTGTAGGTCCAAACCTACGGGCAGTTTGATTGCTGAAAATTTTCTTTCGAGGCATAACAAAAATGTAGAAACTCGTTCTTTCAAATTTTCAAATTTGCTATCGAGGGTAAAATCTGGTTGTTAACCCTTCTGTCAATTTGCCAGCAGTACGATTTTTCACCATGCAAAACAGAGGTAGAAAAATATTCAAAAGCAGCTGTTATATAAGACGAGGAATGATTGAAATATAGGACACCGGTCTCTTGGCACATTGTTATTATATTTATGTGAACAAATATTACTGTAAAAACTGCTAAAATAAATGAATGAAATAACTGATGTATATCATACACTTTTGATACGTAATGATTTAAGAAATTATGATTCCAAGCGTTTAGTCTCTTGAATAAGATCCACTCAAAATGCGTTAAAAGGCAAATTGGTTTGCGAATCAAATATGAAAGAGTGTTCAAGTAGTGTCTAAAAGTATTTATTTTCCGAAGCAGGAACTATTGGGCAGTCAATTCACAGGCGAAGCTTTTGATTTTATGCTCTATTCGGCATCAATGTTAGGCGTAGACGCTCCTGCCTGAGTTTGGAGTGTGCGTGTGCGTGTCTCGGGCGGGTGTGTATGTCATGTGGGGTGTGTGCGTGTGTATGTGTGTGTGTATTTCCCGTATGCCTTCTACGTTTATACGGGCCAGTCACACAATCAAACTTTATCATCTTGTATTTGTTTATACTAGAATATATATTTGAACAGGCAGGTTGTTATCAAAAATAAAATAAAGTCTCTTTTTAGAGCACTTTGTACCCATACAATCATTTCATTTCATAATCACGTACTACATGGACTAAGGACACTAAAAAAAGTTAGATTAAAAAAGTTTACTTTATATGATATGCGTTCCTAACAGAACGAACATTGGCCTTGTTCAGCAATCAAATAAAAATGTCAGATAGATTTTGCCAATTAAACAACAAATCTATCAATGCAAATTAGGCTTTGACTTTAATAGAAAATATCAATGTAGGTTATTAATTGTTATGTTTTTCAATATTTTTGTCTTCTCCTCGTCGTCTTACTTCCTCTTTTGGTAAATAAAAGCAATCCAAATTCATGGGTATAGCTTTTACCGTAGGCTCATCCACATTTTATTCGCCTTGTAGTACACTCTTCTTTTATATTTTTGATTTTATTGCAATTATTTTGGCCTTGTGTTCACATTGTTTTGAAATGGAAAATAAATAAATTGAATAGAATAAATTTATTTAAATATTCCAATGATTACTGCATGCAAACAAATATATGTGAAGTGCTCACCTTCTATTCAAGTCTCTGACAATAACATTTCTGTTTGGACTGTTTATTTTGTGAAATCAATTACAAATTTGAACTATGAAATATGAAACAATAAACTGAACATTAAACTAATTCGTCTAATAACATTGTTTTATCTCAAGAGGAATCAGGCTGTTTCATCTAACACAATAATTATATCCTACTTGTTATAGACTTCTAGGAACTACACTGTAAACGAGATATAGGCGTAAACATTCATGTTTAGACAAGTTTAAACATGACTTATGGCGCATTAAGTAATACCATTAACCTGATTATGTGGTTTGTATATTGTTCATATAACTGTGTGATGTTTTTTATATTTGTCATAATGAGTCAAATATATAGGCCTAGATGCAGCCTCGGCTCAATTGTTACGGCCATTTTAAGGTAATACAGCATTATTATAAATTCATAATGCAGGACTCGGCCTGTTCATGTTTTGCAGCGGGATGTGAAACATTTTCTCTCCGGGACTACTGTAAGTTAATATTGGTTTGTTGTTAAAATTTTCTTCATGAATTGTGCCACTGCCACAACGTCTTTCATTGCATAAAACTACTTTAATCATACAACAAAATACTTAAGTGCCTTATATAGAATGATCGTAAATTGATATTGTTTCGTTAAAATTAATTTATGTACATCGTAAAGTTGTTTTCGATGGTGGTTGTGTAACCACTTCAACTATATTACATGCAACCATTAAAAGAGAAATCTAATCTGCTAACAAGTCAATTGAAAACAGAAAATAAGTTTTAAAAAACGTTTTCGAAGTAAGAGTTAATCGGATAAAAGAAAAGAAATTGTGTTCATTGACTATATTAGCTGTTATCCATGAAACATGAAATTGGCTACACTTTCTTTTTCTTTTTTTTTTGTGTGGCAAAAATGATCTTCTCATACGATATTGACGGAGGGAGGTGTGCAAAGACATGTGTCATGATATAAATATTAGAAAATGGAAAGCTTTAATTTTTACACTAAAATCAAATGAGCTGCATGCCTGTATACAAATGTTGCATTTCTAGTTTGATAGATCACGGCTTGTAAACTTTCTTATTACTTTTCAGATTTCCTTAAGCATTCGCTGATCCGTTTATCACGGTTTATTTTTATTTGTTGCTTTGTTAGTTTAACGCGATCGCAAAGATTACAAAAAAATAACATGATGCATCTTTATAGCTTTATGTGTCATCTATTAAAATGTGCAAAAATGACAATAACAATAAAGATTATAATATTTATTACAACGATAATAATGATAATGATTATAGTAACAACATTAATGATAATGATAATAATAATAGTAGTAGTTGTAGCGCACATGGATGTCAACCTGACACTCTTGGCGTTCCACAGTATACGCCAGCTTTGGGATGACTGTTAAAATGGCGCTCTAGCATTTCAAGGAATAAATTTCCCGCCAAGTACCCATCCACCTCACTTGGGTCGAGGCGTGGCAAATTAATGTAAATTAATGTCTCGCCAAAGGACATCAGTGGCGTGGCGGGACTCGAACCGCGCACCACATCATCAGGTGACGTATCAACCAATCCACATCACCTAATCATCAACTATTTACATTTGATATTCATTCTTTACATTATAGACATTTCGTCCTTTACATTTGATTCAAATCTCTCAATATGTGATATAAACATGATGCATACTAAATATCACCTTTCCTGAAATCGATAATACAAAAAAACTCAACATTTGAGAATGCTCTGTACGTGTCATTTCACCTTAGCAAATATTGAAATATTCTATTCACCTTATTTGCCCCATTCCTCACAAAAAGGACAGAATAAAAGACGGGTTGAATCCCAAATACAATGTGTTTGCATTATAAATGAAGAATTGTGTATATACTTTCCTTACATGTAGGCCTATGTGATTCATCTTAAAGAGAATAAAATAGGATAACTACAAATATGTTCTTTTGTTTTGTTTGGAGACTGATTGATTCCAAAAAGCAATGCGTTTGCATTATAAATGAAGAATAGTCTAAGAGTTGTTCACTTACTTTCATTACATGTAGTCCTATAGTATAAGTGGCGTTTGACAGTGTTTTTCCTTTTTAGGAGGGGGGGGGGCACGACGTGTGTACTGTGCAAAGGAGGTTTTGGACTGGGAGCCCAGTGGGTATTAAGTACCATTGAATTCTGACTGTGTCCCCTGTTCGCACTCCTCCTCCCCTCCACCCCCACGTACTCGAAAATTTAAAAAATACGTTTCACTGTGAAAGAAAGGCCAAAGTAATTCACTCTCAGACGCTTTGCATTGTAGTTTGGTTGTTTTATTTTGAAGGCTACAAAACAGCCCCGCCCACACTATATAAAAAAGGCTTGACTTCAAGGTACGCCCTTGTACATGCATGCAATACAGTCTTTGTGGTCATGTAACTCAATTGCCCACTATGCACGTGCACCACTTGTGATTTCTCTGCAGTAATGTCTTCTCCAGTAATGTGAAAGCTGTCACCTCCTGCCACCGAACCCAAGCCCAGGTCATTGTCCAGCGTGCACTCAAGCCATTGCAAGATAGGCATGAGTGCACACTAAACAATAGCCTGCACCAAACCCAGGTCCAGCCACAGGAGGCAACAAATCTCACAATACTACAATTTCCCCCCAATTAATGACATTACCTGGTAATACATTAATTTAGCAATAAAATCAAAATTGCAAAACACACTAAAAAATACATTAAAGACATTTTCTCTGTTCCCCCCTTATGGAGGCAACAATCTCACATTACTACACATGCATAATGTTAAAATAAAATTACGTCTATATACCAGCAACCTAGCAACAACCTTACAAGATCATATTGTGATAAAATACAAACATACATGCATAATGTTAAAATACAAGTTGGTCTATATACCAGCAACCTAGCATCAATCTGAAAGTATTTTATGATAAAATAAGTTCTCGATTACTAATATATCTCTCCTACATAACACCAGTATATACATTAAAGACATTTTCTCTGTTCCCCCCTTATGGGGTTAACTTCGTCTTTCTGCTACCTTAACACAGAACGAGGAAGACGTGCTGGGTTACTATGAAACCCCTTATTCGTTCTGGTAGAACGCCGACGTCCATCGTATTCATCTTGGGGTCGTATTACTGGCTGGTCATCTGGGTTGGTTGAGCCCCATACAAAGATGAAAGGGAGTTCTTCCTCACTGTCACAATGTTCAGCTAGGACCGTTACAGGGTCTTGCAAGTCTTCATGCC